CTAGTGAAGACCTAATTTAAAAGAGAAATGCTGAGAGAAAGACAGGAATGGCTAGCAATGAAGACAGACAAAAAATCAAGTGGAAAATAGAAGGATGAGAAATGAAAGAAAAGAAAAAGGTTTTAAAAATAGGAAGAGAAGAGATGAAGGAGGAGATAAAGTAAGAAGATACCCACCTTTCAATTGATTCTTTTCTACTAGTATCTTTAATACCTAAATGTAGTGGATTGGCATTTTTTTTTAGAGTGACATCCACTTTAATTTATTGGACGACTTCCCACCACAAACAAGAGCTCAAATCAAACCCTGGAAGCAAATTTCCTGTGGTACATGGAGACTTCATAATAGAGATATTAAGAGCAAAAGAAAAACAAACATTTAACTTTTCGGTTGCGGGAACACAAGATTGACATGTGAAATCTAATGTCCTTTACCGCGAACTAATGCAAAAATCAGAAATGTCAACCGTGATATCTTTTGGCATTATTGCATTGTGGAGGGGAGCCAGAAGGAAGTCGCTTAACCCGTACATGGCCAACTTCTGCTGGTTAACTTGTGGCAGCATGTACATCAAACAAATAGGTGAGCAAATTTTCTACCGGTATGGGCAGACACAGTAAACGTTGGGTTCAAAAGACTTCAGGGTTTATTGGAGTGAGAGTTTCCTGGGCACTTGGATGTTTTCAGTTTATACTTTCATGAACAAGTTATTGCTTCCTTGCTCTTCTGACTTCAAGAAAGAATACAGTATTGACATACAATAATCCATCAAATTCAACAGACAATGAAATGGTTAAAGGCGTATAGGGGAAATTTTAAGGAGGTTTGTCAAGAAGTTTGTTCTTTTTGGGGGGCCTTAAATTTAATGCCATTACATCAACTCACGTAAGTTGTGTTTACCTTAATTTTTAGAGTGCAAAACTTATAATCCACAGACTTCAGAAAACATGGCAGAGGATGTTGGAAATACTTTGTTATCAAAGAACAACATGTTCTTTAGTATGTTGCCTTTTATATTGATATGACAATCCCCATCTTTCTTTAAGAAAATATTTGATAGTATGATAAATGTATGCCCCTATGGTATACCTGGTACTATACCTTTTCACTAGTACTACTGTATGTTAAACCTATTCATGTGCACTCTCCAGCTGAACAGAAAATCTACATAACCCTCTCAGGTTTCAAAAGGGAAATATTTCCCTTAAACTTGTTGAATGTCAACTGTTTCTCAATTTGCATGCATTGCTGCATGTGATCTTTTGACAATGACATTAAAGCAGTTCATGTCACCATGGATGATTACATGGGAGAGGCCTATATAACAACATGCTCTTTGAAAATAGGAGGTTGTGTGGTTAGTGGATGAGTCTCTGGACTGTGAACCATAAGGTACAGGGTTCAAATCCCTGCCACAGCACTAACGTCCTTTGGTAATATACACTAATCTACATTTGCCACACTCCTCCTATCCCAGGTTAATGGATACCTGGTAGGATTATTCCTTGAAACGCTCTGTGCTGGGCTATAGCCGGGGTAATGAATTCTACATCTCTTTGGAAGCACAAGGGGACGTTATATCATATGTGATATGCCCTATACAAAAAGGAATATTTTTATTAGAAATCAATTTTGAAAAGCATCAATATAATGCTTGGATATAGCATGTATCATCTTCAATTAAGTTTATAACAAGAAGACGGAATGTACAAGAAGAAAAAATTGTAAGAATAGATACAGAAAGAAAAGAGAAAACGAGAAAGACAGAGAAGACGGGGTAAGAAGCAGATTGGTGAAAGGAGGGGGAAATCAAGAGAGAGAGAGTGAGAGAAATCAAGAGAGAGAGAGAGAGAGAGATGCACTCTAATCTTTCTTTCATTTATGCATTATAAGTGAATAATGAATGATCTACAAGCACAGAGAGGGAAGAGCGAGAGGGAGAGGGGGAAAGAGAGAGAAGTTAGAGACAGACAGTGGGAGGGAGAGAGAGATTTGCAACTCCGATTTAAACTGGTTCAAAATTAATGAAAGCAGAATAGAATAAGTTGATATCCCCTAAGGGCAAACTCATGCATCAAAATATTTATGAAAGTAATCTTTCTTTCATTTATGCATTATAAGTGAATAGTGAATGATCTACAAGCACAGAGAGGGAAGAGAGAGGGAGAGAAAGGAGAGACAGACAGAGAAAGAGAGAGAGGGGGAGGGGGATAGAGAGATAGAAAGAGAAGTGAGAGAGAGACAGAGACAGACAGACAGACAGAGAGAAAGAGAGAGAGAGAGAGAGAAAGGGACAGACAGACAGACAGACAGACATCCGGAGGGAAAAAAGGAAATATGTAGAAAGAAAAGCTCGAGCTGGTATCGGGTATAATAGGGGAGCATTGATCTCTAAATTGAGATACTTGAGGTTCCTTGATGGCATTTAGTAGGCCATTCATTACTGGCAATGGCTGCAGGCTATACAGGAAATGGGCAGTTAGCTGCTATCAACCATGGTCTGCGACTGTCCAAATCACTCAAAGCCTAAACTGCATGGCTTTGGATTGCAAGTCATCAAAAAACATCAGCTTAATTGTACAATATTTTGTTCTGTATATACATGAAATACTGCATCTCAAAATCCGACATGCTCTAAAAGGATTAAAACCTATTATTGAAGATGACATCATTTCCTTTTCACATGCCTTTCCAACAGGCTACATTTTGAGATATCTTGGTCTTCAATAAATTCAGCAAGACGTTTCGGTAATCCCTGATGTAGACTTACAATTTAAGTTGAATAATGTTCCCATCGACTTGCTGTCATCAATATAAATTCCTTCTTTTATATATTCAAATCCTAACCACTTTGCCAAAAACCAAGTAGATTCCAACTGGTGGCACTTTGCCATAACAGACATCTCAATGTTTCACAGTAAACATCTTCAAAAACATGGAGTCCACTGAGTTTAATATGATGACAGCTTGCTTACTTTCATGGCTTATCAAAATTCTCCATCAGATTCGACAAGCAGATTAAAAAAACAAAAAACATACAGTGATCAGGTAACTGGCATCAATGTACCAAGCAATATTCCTCTGCACCTTGCTTCAGAGTGGCATTTCTATCCGCTTACTTTGAAGAATAAGCGAAAAGGTATAGACATTTTATCTGATTTCTCAACAAGATATTTTGTCAAGCTTTGTTTTGTTTTGATTACACTTTCTCATGAAATAATCATATACATGTATGATCATCTATTCTCATTGAGAGCATTTAACTTGGATTTGAATTCATTCTAAATTTTAGGAGGCAACAGAGGTTTACAAAATTGTACCATTTCCATTTCTTACTTTGGAGGACTGCAATGAAGAAGTAAAATGTCTTCAAAAAAGTCAAACTAAATTTTCGGTCTTTTTTATATACTGTGGGACGGATTTTTTTTCTTTCTTCAAAAGACACTTAAAGATATTTGAATGATGAAAGTGAGAAATGGAGAAAGTTAGGAAATAGCTTGATTGACTGGTCGGGTATCAACTGAGAAATTAAAAAAAAACGTGATTGTACACCTGTCTGTTAAAAGTATCATTCACAAGTGGCTGTCATTACCTGCATCACTTTGCCTTGATAGCAGATCAGGCAGGATAGCTTTAAGTATCCTTTCCCTCCTCAACAAGAACCTCAACAACAACTTACAGGTCTGAAGGGGTTTTGTTACACCAATACAGAAGTGAGAGAGACACTTCAAAGTGGAATACAAGCGTACCACTTCTTCCTGACTTGCCGAATGCACTCCATAACACTCACCAGAGCATAGTATGTCTGTTAATTGAGAGCCATGCAGAAGGGCACTAGTCCTATGTCACATGATATGACTTAATGCCATTCAGGCTCTCAACATACAATACGCACTTCATGTATACTTACACACATATATATATCCACATCAACACTTCTTCTCTTTGCTTAAAGTAAGCGGTAGAAGTTTCACTGCATTTTTAGATTTCATGCCTGATTAAATTGTAACTTTTGTATTTTCCACCTCATTTAGCTCAGTCAGCTGTAAGAATGTTACTCTATTTTTAGATAAGATTGAATGCGTGATTTCTTGTAATTTTTGTATTTTACACCTCATTTGGCTTGCAGAGGGAAACAATGTTGAAAATATGTTTCTTGTGATGTTACCAAATGTGATTAGTTTCAATAAAGTGCCACAGTTTTATGAGGGCTTTCTCAGCCTGCTGTTCAATAATGATTTGCACTTGTTTGAATTTTGATATAAGTTTCTATAATTTTCACATGTTGGATAAACAAAGATCTGTAATTAGATTTGAATCATATGACAAATCATCCTTGAGTTTGTTAAATCATAGTATGTCAATAATTTCTGTAACATTTTTGTTCTACAGCTGACCCTTATGATATTTACATGTATGTCTACGGGTACGTTTATCATGTCTTGCCAGTCAGAATCAGCATTTCTATATGTACATATCGAACCCCACTATACAAACGTGATTTGCGGGATGTTGCAGGATATCGACTCTTAACGATTTAAAATAAAGACCTTGTCTCTGTGTATAGCTGCTTTTTTTGGCCTTTCAATATCAGCGTTTTAACTCCTTACAATTTTGCCAGAAAGACGTTTGAAAATGCTGATTCCAGGCAAAAAATGTACTATAAATGCGCCCTACAATGTCATACATTCTTTCAGCTGTTGGTGTACCGGAAATATGCAATTACCAACAGGTATAAAGAGGCCTTCAGTTGCTCTGTCACCACTACTTCTTTGGCTAATAAATGCTGTACTGAGACAAGATATTTGAAATATCTCAACGTGACAATAGATATTCTGAGGCAAGAGTGATAGAAATCGAACATTTCCATAAACTCAATGATGATGAAAAGCATTTAAGAAAAATATGAGATGATCCTTAATTAGATTGAATTGGATTGATAGTAATAAATCTAGAAGATATATCTACAAGTCAGATGAAGTATTAAAAGAGGTTGATTCTTACCTTGTATGTGGGACATTGCTGCGTACCATGTCCAAGATCTCAGCTGTATTGTTCGCACCACCGTCTGTGAGGATGAAGATCTGTCTGGGACACCCCCTGACTACAGGATGTCTGTAGACCCACTGCAGGGGCACCAGGAGATTAGCCATGGCACCTAGATCAGCTCTCATACACCTCAGATAGGCACTTGCCTCACTAACATTGTCCTGGGTGTACGGCCGGCTCGACTCAAAGAGTGGCTTGTAGGCCGAGCCGAAGCCGATGATGTTGAATCGACAGTTCATAGGCAAGCTCTTAAGCACCATCATGAGTGTTTCTCGCGCATTGGCGGTGTACTCCCCGCTCATGCTACCACTGCGATCAATAAGGAGGACGTACTCTCCAGGAACATCAAAGCGATAGGTCAGCATCTGTTGCGTGAGCTTTTCAAAGTCCGGGCAGTAGTTCAGCATCAGGACGGGGTTGTGCATGACATCCTTGAGCAAACGCTTCTGCAAGAACGCCCTTGTTTTGTCCTCGTCCTCACCCACCTCACCAGGATTCTTGTACTCATTTTCAGTCTTGACGAATTGTTCGTAAGCGGTGGGGCTGATGTCACCGTGTTCCAGGATGACGACCGGCACGTGCGGCTTGGGGTAGTGGATTGTGATGGCGAGATCGCGATCCATCTGGTGAGGTTCAGCTAAAGTCACAAAAACATTGGAAGCATTTGCTGCAAAGGGTTCTGCATCTACACGAACAGCATGTGAGGAGCTTGAGACCCCAGAAAGCAACGATGGTGCACGGATCTGTGAAATATTGGTATCACATGAACAAAATGGAAAAATTATAGATCTTCAATTAGTTTTAAAAGACACACCAATAAATCTTTAAAATAATAAGTCTGATAACAATACATGTTCATAAGCAAGGGCAAACTGTAGGACTTAGCTGAAATTTGTTATAATTATTAAATCACATTTACTCTGCTCTTATATCAACAGTCTTTTCAGTAGGGCTACCACATTGTGTGCCTGAAAGCCTTCAATCATGAACTATTAAATTTATTGTGTATTACACCAGTGATAGCATACAAAATGAGATAAAAATCTCGATGCTTATTATCATTTCAAAGTCAAGTATTTGTAGCATTCTTTTTTTTACAATCCCAACTGAAAAGCATATACAACAACAAAATGCAGGAGCTATAACAACCATGAATTTATGCAATATCTTCCAGTATAGAAGAAATATATGAAAACTATTAAAAAATTGAATTACCTCGAGCTGGAATTCAAACTCATATTCTTGTGGATTTTCTCCCACTTCATCTGCTATATCCAGTAGTGACCTGTGCAAATGTTCTGTAGTGGTATTGTTTGAGGATGATGATGTTGTCTGTGACGCCTGAGGTTGACTCTGAGGCTGCTGGGGTTGTGGTTCGTTCTCTTTGACCTGGGCTTTCTTATAACGAGGTGTGAAGACACTAGGAATATGAAGCTTGGCCTCACCTAACGTCCCTGTATTCATGAGCGAGGATATACTGAGAAGGATTGTTACGGTTCCATGGGGTCTGATTGTCCCAAGGTTTGAGCAGAAGACACGGGCATTGTGGAACTCAGAGAGTGCAAACTTTCCAGGGGGTAGGACGTTGGGTTGGTTGGCTGTCATGGTGATGCGGCCTGTGAGGATCTCGTTGAAGTGCTCTACCTGGGTGCGGTCTTTGAGGTGTACGGTGATGGTCCGACCTTGCAGCATCCGTGCCTCGAACGCAGCCACCGTCGTGTTCTCGTTCATCTTGAAGCAGAAGACACCTTCTACCACATGATCTTCCTGGTTGTAGTAAGTGAGCGATGCTGCTATGCCAACGGAGAGACCGTTGACGCATGCTGACACGCGGGCTGCCTGAAGGGTCAAGGGAGCCCTCGTGTGGCGATTGATTAGCCCTGGCATGGTGGTTATCACTTTTGTCCACTTTTATGTCATGAAAGTTGATTAGGACTAGTGAATGGTTTCAGAGTTTCTTGATATTTTTGTCAATGTCATGCTTGAAGTTCTCTCCTAACTCATCTGTAAAATAAATGATAGAAATATAAACACCGATAATTATACAATATATCAGACCCCCATGAGAACTTTCAATAGAGTCACATTTTTCATACAACAATAGAATTCTATCTAATTTTGTTATGTATGACGTCTGAAATTAAGACTATTCATGTCTTGACTTGTCATTTTATGTATACGCATTGCCCAATGTACCGCGCGCAGTTTCCATCGATGCCTTCATCGAATAAAGTCCATGCTACCACCATGTAGTTTTAAAGTTACGAATACGTCTTTATTTGTCATCTTTATTTGGCTGAACATCAACCTTGAACATTGACAGAACATAATATTGGCGACGAGGTCGAGATGATTAGTTTGGTTTGCCGCAGTTTGCTGAAATAAAGACTTGAAAAAAGTTTCTCCAGCAGAGACCCGACATGGTTTGGAATTATGCCTGTACACGTGCAGTTTTTTATGAACGCTTTGCCGTACAGCACGTACAGCTATGGAGAATAGTGCATCAGCATGTATTCAGCAAATGAACCGAACTAATGGAGCTGAGTTTGCCTAATTTGGATGAAAAACTCTTTAGCCAGGAGATCCAGCCGTTGATCGTAGGTGAGCGAGTATTTGTTTTGCTGATGTTGCCTCATCAGTTTAACTTTATTAGCCGCAGTTGGATGAATGGTGAATGGATGCCCCCAGCCTAACTTTCAACTTGACGATCAACCAGTGGCAGTGCTGCAGTAGTACTACAGTAGGCCATGCAACTCAGTGGCAGTAGCCAAGCCCATGAAAGCTCCAACCAAGTTCAAGGCCCAGCCCATGGTCAGCCAGCCAGCCCGCCAGCCAGCCAGCCCAGCCCGCCAGCCAGCCCAGCCAGCCCAGCCCGCCAGCCCGCCAGCCAGCCCAGCCAGCCCAGCCCAGCCAGCCCCGCCCAGCCAGCCAGCCAAGCCAGCCAGCCAGCCCAGCCCAGCCAGCCCAGCCCTGCCCAGCCAGCCAGCAAGCCAATTCAGCCCAGCCCATGGCCAGCCAGCCAGCCCGCCAGCCAGCCAGCCCAGCCCGCCAGCCAGCCCAGCCCAGCCAGCCCAGCCCAGCCAGCCCCGCCCAGCCAGCCCCGCCCGGCATACATTGTTTCAGAATCCAGGTTCCTGTATCTAGATCTACTGCAGCGTAGACTAGAGGAGGAAGTGTTTTGTTTTAGCCTTAAAATTGAAATACAGGAAGTTGTTACTTCGTGATTGCCTTCAATTTAGGACCAGGATCCAGTTCAGTGACAGTGTCAGTTGACTCAGTTCATAGTTTCGGACTAGTAGCAACCCACCCAAGTGAAAGCCAGACCACTCATCATGAAGTGATGGTGATGTTGATGCAAGCAAATAAACATTTAGAACTCATTTGATAATATTGTCGATTGTTATGATGAATCTGTTTTGTAACTGAGTGTAAGGACCAGTCCCAGACCAGGACTAGTACCATTACAAGTTGAAGTGTGATTCAAGTGTGAAGATGTGGATCTAAGTAGGTCTACAAATTTAGAGTTAGACATTAGTCTCGGGTTTTTACAGTAAATAACAGTAGAACCTATTAACAATCAGACAATAATTACAATAGATCTAGTCTTTGCAGTCTAGTCCAGGTCTAAAGTCAAGAATTTGGTTCTTCAGTTGTAAATTGCTTGTCAAAGAAATGTGTATGTGTTAGATACATGTGTGGAAGTGGAAAGAGCCCAAATGTTGTTGTTTGGTATTGGTATTTCAAGTCAAATATTTATGCAAGTATTTGTTATGGTATAAAGTTGTTCATTACAAGTTTAATGCTCCTTACATAAACATGGCAGCACAAATGTTTGGTAATGTCCCACAGTTGGACTCAGGGTATAAATTTGAAGATTGGACTGAGGTTCTTGAGTCATGGTTTATAGCTAATGATATTACAGCAGATGCAAAGAAGAAGGGTATATTCTTATCAGGATTAGGAAGTAAATCCTATGCCACATTACGTGCATTGTTGCAGCCCAACAAACCAATTGATAAAACTTACCAAGTATGTAAGGATACTCTGTCTGAACATTTTGCCCCCCAACCAACTGAAATAGTCCAAAGGTATAAGTTTTATACTTGTGTTCAAGAATCACGTGAAACAATCCCGCAATTTGTTGCTCGTTTACGCCAGTTGAGTGAAGGATGCAAGTTTAAAGAATTGAATAGCATGCTTCGAGATCGCCTTGTAGTTGGTTGTAAGGACAAAGCTACACAAAGAAAGCTTCTTAGTGAATCAGAGCTTACATTTGATAAAGCGTTGAAAGTAGCCATGGCCATGGAGATAGCTAATAGAGATGTTGAACAATTGCACTCCAGTGACAATGGTAGTGAAGACAAAGAGGTTCACCAGTTAAGAACCACGCAGATGAAAGAAAGGTCTTCAAGCAAGTGGAATTCCAAGCTTACTGAGAAGGAAAAGCCCACAGGTCAGTGGACTGACCAGAAGTTAAGGTGTTGGCGTTGTGGATCGACAAGACATGTTCATCAATCCTGTCCGTTTCAGAAAGAGCAATGCTATCAATGCCAGGAAATTGGACATACTAAAAGCCAATGCAAAGCAGTAAAGAACTATTTTGCAAGATAATTATATTTATGCCAAGTGAAACTATTGTAGATCAAACTCTATTTGTTATGGGGTTAAACATTTTTAATCTTGTATTGCATAAGTCTGCAAAAGTTCAACAGATGTTGTTTATATGTGTTACATAATTATAAGGCAATGATTAAAAGGTAAACATTTATTTTCTTTAGCGATGAAAGCTAATTTGGTGCATTCATCACAAGTGTTGATGTTTTAAAAGTAACAGTGTAAATTGTTCCACATTTTATCAAAAATACTACACGATTTTCATGGAGAAAATGTCACTTATTTTGGTCTGTTCTTTATTATGCCAGGAGATAAGTTAGTTGATAAAGTTTGGATCCAATCAGTTTTGTATCAAAGTACAAGGATTTTGTTTTATTTTCTTGCCATGTAAAGTTTTCATGCATAAAGTAATGCATAAAGTACTGCATAGAGTAATGCATCAAATAATGCATATGTTGACTATTTTCACGGAGGAAAAGTGTTGTTCCTTGGGTGTCAAACAACCTTCAAGTAAAACTTAGATCAGTAAAAATAGGTTGTTATAACAGTGAACATTTTGTGTTGTTGTATTTACATGCATACAAGCAATGTTGCTAGTTTATGTTATACATGGAATAGGATTTTTTTAATAGAATCAAGTTGTGTGAGTACATTCCTATCTTGCCAGTGTCACATCTCTATACAAACATTTTTTGAGAAAATAAGACCATATTGTTATATAGTTCTGCCCTAGTCTGCATGCCAGTTTGATACATGTATTTCATTTTGATGTACCCATGTAATTCACTAAAAGGGGGAGGAATGTTATGTATGACGTCTGAAATTAAGACTATTCATGTCTTGACTTGTCATTTTATGTATACGCATTGCCCAATGTACCGCGCGCAGTTTCCATCGATGCCTTCATCGAATAAAGTCCATGCTACCACCATGTAGTTTTAAAGTTACGAATACGTCTTTATTTGTCATCTTTATTTGGCTGAACATCAACCTTGAACATTGACAGAACATAATAAATTTAAATGAAAAGTCCATTATTGAAAACATGTGCATGCTTTGAAGTAGAAGACTTGATATAAGATCCTGAAGGATAAATGTATATTTACAATCCTCATGTTCTTTTCATTTCTTCCACACAAACTTCACATCTAACAAAGATAGCAATACAAAAATTGACTCTTCACTAGCTCACTGATCTTCCTACACAATCATGTAGTACACCAAACTTGTTTCTACTTCTCTCCTTCTCACCCACATTCTCTCTCTCTCTCTCTCTCTCCCCATCTCTCTGTCTCTATCTCCATATATATAACTCTCTCCCTCCCTCTCCCTCTTTTTCCATCTACCTAAATATCCCCCCTCCCGCCCACCGCCTCCCTCTCTTTCTATCTCTATCACCATATAACTAACTCTCTCCCTCCCTGTCCCTCTCTCTACCTCTTTCTCCATCTATCTAAATCTCTTTCTCCATCTATCCAACTATCTCTCTCTCTCTCTCTCTCTCTACATCTTTCTTCATTTGCCTAACTCTCTGTCTCTCCCTCTTCTTGAAAACTGTTTGACTTAGCATCTTTTCCACTCTGCAATAGCTCATCCCACTTCCAGCACCTGTAGGCTATCCTGTCGGTGATACTGAACCAAATCACACGTCTTTCTCCTTAGTGGCTAACATGATCCTAAGAGTATTATGCGTGATAAATCACTCACTATCTCAGCCCTTAAAGCTAGAATTCAGTCCTTGTCAAGCGATTACATTAGGCGTGTCTTCATCATCTCGAGATTGCCAAATAGCCCGCTATTTCTGATTTGGGAAATAATCCCGAAGTAACAAATCCCGTCTTCACTATCTCGAGATTCGACTTCGAAACTTGAACTCGACCTTGAGAAATTAGCTCAAGATATTTTGCTCAGCGTTAGCGCGTTTTGCTAATCTTCGGTCTAGTGAAGACGCACGGGACAAATAGCTGGATATTTTGCCAAATAGTGGGATATTTTGCAAACTATCCCAAGATATCTTGGAATGACAATCCTGACCAAATATCCTTCTAATTGCTCCTTTGGTCTGATGATGACGCAAATTAGCTGGATAGTTTGCAATCGGGATAGTTCAAATAGCTGGATATTTGGCAATCTCGAGACAGTGAAGACAGGCCTAATGTGACTGAAACCATCTGGAGGGAATATGACATTTGATTATGTGGTTAATAAGAATTGGTATATACTGTAAAGTTTTAGAATCAGTGAACTGATTAAAATAGATTCAAATTTGCTCTTTAATTCACAGGCACTGCACACAAAAATGCACATATGGGGACTACACACACATGTGGCATGCATGTTTGGTCTAAACTTTTCAGCTAATTCGCATCATATTTCAAATATGAGG